TATTCCACCTCGATCATATCGTTGCAGTGCTTAGGCGAAGCCCTGCGTCGGTAGAACATCATCATCATTACCACGCCGTCGTGCTAACGGAACTCCTCCCCGACGCTTTGCTGGATCGGAGCCCGGGGATCGTCATCGAGCTGAACGTGTGCCAAGAACTCGGAGGTGCAGGAGTAACGGTGCTTGGATCGGTCGGATCGTGAAGACGTACGACTACATCAACCACGTTGTCAGAACACTTCTGCTGTCGGTCTACAAGGGTACGTAGATCACTCTCTCCCCTCTCGTTGCTATGCATCACCATGATCTTGCGTGTGCGTAGGATTTTTTTTGAAATTACTACGTTCCCCAACATTGTCCTCATACTGAACATCGCACTAATCTATTCTATCTAGTCATACAAGATGTTTGAAAGGAGTGGGAAGCTAGGGTTTCAATAATAAACCCGACTGCACCACCAATCCTTTTTGCAAAGATCATGAAGTTAAACACTCAATGTAAATCATGACTTAATGTAACCCATGCCTTCGGTTTTGACCCTCGTGTTTAAATCTTTTCATATACCTTGAGGCATGATAAATGGGTAGATTATAAGGTAGAGACTCAGAGAGAGCAATGTTAATAATAGAGCCAACAACTGGCTATAACTTGTTGCCATGTCATCTATAACCAACTTATAGCCAATAGTATAATAGTTAGCTATAAACATGTACCACTTGTCCCACGTCACAATCTCACGGGGTTTCTTCGAGGTCATGCTACATGTAGCTCTTAATCGAGATCAACTTCTCTTCTCTCTCATTTTCTCTCTAATCTAACTCAACATAAATATAGTATTTAAAATCTTATATCCTGCATACGTCACCTTATATAGTTGCTCTAACAAGCACAACCATTCGACGTCTTCGTAATGAACTTCCCCTTCATCCACTCAATGTTAGCCTATGATTTATCTCAACTGAGATTCACGTAGGAACAAGTTTCCCATGGTTGCCATCATTGAGGGCGTCGAATATGTAGCCCACAATGATGATAGCCATCACATAACAAAGTATGGATCATACCCCCCGGGTTAATATAATACAAGGAAAACTCAATCGGAATGGCCAAACACGTCGACAAACTTGGAAATCAAAAACGGAAATGGCCGAGAGGTTGTTGCATATGCAGATTTCATGTGGAAGGAAAGGGCACCACAATAGTGTAGTTCTTTCTAGTGTCTTGTAGCGAGGAACCATTGATGGACTTCCGACAGACTCGCAGGAGAGTCCTACCACACCAATACTTATGCCCACTATGCAATCAACATGATGAGACTATCGATCACCTGTTGTTGAGTTGTGCCTTTGTGAGACAGTTATGGTTCTGGATTTGGAGTGCTTTGGGTTGCTCGAATCAAATACCGACCATTGATGATACTCTCGTGGAATGGTGTGGCACGAGGACCTCTCACAGTCGTCCATTGCTATATTTTTTGGCAAATCTGGTCCCTTTAAGTGACTTGAGGCACATCTATCCCCTGGGAAAAACTAATTTGGAATCTGGCCCTTGGGTTCGGTGCCACATAGCATGGCACCAAAGTTGTACATGTGGGCGCCACACTAAACGATGCCGAGATGTACATGTGGGCGCCACACTAAACGACGCCGAGATGTACATGTTCGGTGCCATGCTACATGGAGCCAAGCAAATCTGGCTCCTAGGGTTTCCATGGGCCCATCTGGGGTCGGCGCCACATAGCATGGCGGCGAACATGGGGGCTAGATTCCAAATTAGTTTTATGCATGGGCAATATGTGCTTGAAGTCGCTCAGAGGGGCCAGATTTGTCAAAAATTACTCCATTGCGAGAGCTCATGACGATCATCACGCTCACCATGTGGGAGAATTGAAAACACCGAAATGCGGTGGTTTTTGATGGGGCCACTCCTTCAGTTCAAAATGCCATCTCAAATGTGGCCAAGGAGGGTAGAACTTGGAGTTTGAATGACCTACTTAAAGGAGATCTATCTTTCTTTTTTACAACGCTTGATAGGTGAGGTAGCGACAAGTAGTTGTGTACGGTTCTAGGGCATACCCCAGACACGTAAAATTCATTGTTGTAACGCTATGATGGTGGGCTCTTCACCCCTTTCTTCTACTCCCTCCTTCCTATATTGTTAGGCATATTAGTTTTAGCACGAAAAATAACGCAACAATCATCGTTAGTTGAGCCATCTTAGCGGGAAGCGTCCACGACTCAAAAAAAGAGGAGGAAGGCATGCACGATTTCTTGGAACCATCTCCAGAAAATTAGCGATACTCTATAACAACTCGAGAGAGGAAATCGACTGCATGCGTCTTACATACTGAGACTGCATGTAAAAGCTAATACGCCTAACAAAATGGGAAGAAGTGAGTATCAATTTATGACACACACTCGTGTGTATTCTAGAAAGAAAAAAATCATACAAGACGAAGAAGAAGCAACACTTTGAATTCGAAGCAGTTCATGCGCCCAAAGGCAACTAGAGCTCAACATAGTCAAGTATACTGACTCGATTAAGGTCTTATTGACCAACTAATTGTGTGAAAACTGCACCTCCAACGACGACGAGCTATAAGAAAATGACTCCAACATCTATATGCCACCACTTAGAGTCGCGAGTAAATTAAGGGTTAGCCTTTTCAAACGAGCCTCGTTTTCCCTTGTATGGCTGCCGATGACTGGGACGGAAATAGTCTTAGAAAGTACGCAGCCTCGACGAGAGCATATATTGTACTTAATTACATGTGGTTTATTATATACGAGTATATGTACGTGTATACATACGTCGGTTGATAGATAGTAGGTTCGTGAAACATGCAGTGCAATCGATGCAAAAAAAAAAAAACATGCAGTGCAATTCCGGTGTGCCCAAGCCATAAGAAAATCAAATTGGAGGCCAACACGAAGTTCCATCAGGAGCACGTCACCCCGTACCACACACGAACGAACCCCAATAATGCACGCAACCGGTCCGGACGTCAAGAAAAACTACTGCCAGACGGCGAATATCCGGCATCACGGACGGACGGACGGCTGCGGGCGGGGCAGGGAACGTTGACCGCGGGTGTGAACCGTCCGATCGCTGGATGTCGGCATCACGGCGTCCCCATTTTGCTTACGGCCCAAGCAAAATCGTTCCGGCCACGCAACTTGGCATCCAAGTTTAGCGCGCCCAGCGCCACCGCCAGGCGGGCCCGACCCGCGGCGGGGCCCCGTGTGTCGGCCGCGGAGGCGGTGGGTGGAGCACAATAAGGGTCGCAAGTGGGCACGACAAAGGCGTGGACCCGCGTTATTTCTCCGCCCAATAATATTTCCCCCACCGCCGCACGGCTCCTCCACCCCGACCTTCCTCTCGCTTTCGCCCCCGCCCCCGCCCCCTTGCCGCCGCCGCCGCAGCGATTCTCCGAGCCGAGTCCTTGCTTTGACCAGCCGCGTCTCGCCGCCGGCCGGGGGAGCGTCTTCGGCGGGGTAGCTCCGGCAATCGATCGTAGCCGGGGGATAAAGTGGGCTCCGTAGGGGAGTCCTAGGGGGGGGTGACAGGGGGGTTAGATCGGGCAAGATGAACCGCTCAATATCCTCCGCCGTGACCCCTGCTGATGCTGCCGCTAACCCTAGGTAAGCGTCGGTCGGTGAATCCATCGATTCGGCTCGCCCCTTGCATGGATCTACGCGACCCGCCCGATTGTTAGGCCGTGTGTGATGATTTCATATCTCTATATGTTCGATCTGGTGAATATTCTTTTGTGAGAGTTAGGTAGGCTTTTTTGTTCGGTTTCGATCATCTGTGACACCGGGAAGCTGGTTGTTGACTGCTAAAGTTGTAGATTTAGGATTTACCAAGTGGATTCCGTGCACCCTTGACTCGCTAAATATTAAAAATTCCATCTTTGCTATGAATTTCGCGTTAGCTTATCTCCATCTTGTTTGTGTGGTGAGGAACTAGTTATTTTCATCACAACTTTGCTTGATTCAACTTGAGACATCATTTGCCTTTTACTTCATGTAATTTCCTGATTAGGCCAGCGCTTTCAAATAATATTTGGCTTACACAGCATATTTTCGCGCGCAGGTGAATACTCCCTCTGTAAACTAATATAAGAGCGTTTAGATACTAAACGCTCTTATATTAGTTTACAGAGGGAGTACATGATAGTTGTGCGTCATAATCGTAATTTCTGAGCCCTGTTATTAACGCAATAGATTTTTTTCAAGCCATATATCCTATGATTTTCTCATTAGGCCAGCTGTTTCAAATGTTTGGTCAACGAAGCGTTTTTCGCGCGCAGATGAATATATGTTTGTTTGGGGTGATAATTATAAATTTTGAGCCCAATTAATGCAGTAGGTTTTTTAAAGCCCTGTATCACGTGTTCTCCTGATTAGGCAAGCTGTTTCAAATATTTGGTTTACGAAGCATAATTTTTGCGCGCAAATGAATACATGATACTTCTGGGTGATAATTGTAATTTCTGAGCCCAATTAATGCAATAGCTGTCTCAAGCGCGCTATATATGACTGAACTCTTGTGCTCACACCCTTCAACAAATGGCGGTTTCTGCATGAGGACTATGGCAAATCAATAGATAATTCCATATTGAAGTATTTTCCTTTTTATTTTATTTTATCTAGTTCGTTGTTCGTCGTGCTAATGTAACATGATAGTTTTGGGGAATTTACTCGTATGTTTAGCTGCCGACAGAGTACTGAGATCTTTGATTTGCATATATTCTGTTTGCTTGATTTAAGATATTCTAGTTTTTTGTCCTTTTTCTTACAGGACCTATCTTCCCTTTTCAGGTTTCCTACTCTTTTGCCCTTATCTCACCCGACCGATATTCTTTTTCTCCTCATCGATATTGAAGTAGTCTATGCTCAGAGGTTCCTCCATTAGCTTAGTGTAAATATTAGACTTGTTGGGGTTTAGTTTGCTAGAAGGAATTAGTCTCTGCTTGGTGTTCATTTCTGCTTGCTACAATGGCTGCGATGAACGAAAAGGTGTTGGCTAAATGTGGACAGAATATAGTTAGCCTCAAGAGGAAGCGGGACAGCCCCGCTGCATATCATGCTGATGCCTGCCACACCTCTCAATCGCATCAGCATCCTACTGGAAACTCTGATATCAGGTTGTATGTTGGTGAAGATCGCAAGGCGAACATCGCGTGCCACTTCAACAAGCAGATTTTACAGAGCTATCAGAACTACATGACCAGTGCATCACCTAAGCGTATTCTGCTCCGCCAAAGTGGCAACTGGAAAGAATTTCCAGAAAAAATTGTCAAGCTGGCTCAAGTTGATTTCCGGACAAAGAAGACCATCACAGAAGTAGGATACCAGAACCAGCTATTTTTGCTGGACTTTGTCCACATGACATTCATTGACTCAAAGTCAGGTCTTCAGAGGCCAATCGCCTGGATTGATGACAATGGAAGGCGTTACTTCCCAGAAGTTCTTATTGAAGATCAGATAGTATATAGGAGGAAAGATTTTGGCAATGGAGATCATGTCTATGTTATAGCTGAGCCTAATGGGGCACGTCAAATAAATGACCAGTATGGAGCATCAGAGAGTTCCGCAGAAAGCTCAAACTTTGAGTCCAGTACTGAAGAGGTTTCCAGTGCTAAGAGAGTTAGAGCTGAGAAGAGTATCATCAGGAAAATAAATTGTGATCGTAGAGAAACTGTGGGAGAGAATGAACCACACACTTCGCTGCCTGCAGTCTTTAGTTGTCAACCACAGCAAGATAAGCTGGGCGGGCAATCACGTGCTCAAGGAACTACCTCTGTTGTGCAGAAGATGTTGCTGCAGGGAATGGGTACTGCTATTGGTTCCAAGGATATTATTGGAATCCACCGAACGCCATTCTTGAATAATTATAGAGAAGACCGCTATGATCTCTTCCAAAAGCAGGTAGAGATTACTAAATCTCAGCATGGTAATGCAAATGTGCGTTATGCTTGGCTTCCTTGCTCGAAAGCTGCTGTGGATGAAATGATGCTGAATGGCACCTTGCAAGTTAAAAAGCCCACTAGGTGTCCACCCTATGGAACTGGCGTACTCCTTGCACCAGCTAACTGCTCCATTAACTGGTATGTGCTCCTGTCTCGTATCATCTGCTGGCAAAAAACTTACTCTGAATGTTCTGAACATCTACTCCCCTCCATCTTTAAGAAGTATATTCACATCTGTCTTATTCTTGCCATATGTGTTTCCTTATTTGTAGATAAATAGTTTCTGGCACCATTTATTTACTTCCACTTACATGTTCACATGTTTTTCGTTGTCAACTTACCATTGTATTTTTTTGTCTATTATTTGTTTCTATTCTTTGACACTTCCTGTCCCTAACAATTGCAAAAATTCAATATTTTGTATTACTTTCTGCAGTGTGAATTACTCTGATGTTGATGAAAATGGCATCATCTATATGATGTTGTGCCGGGTTGTAATGGGGAACGTAGAAATAGTTCACCATGGATCTAAGCAGCACCAGCCTAGTAACGAGTATTTTGATAGCGGTGTAGATGACCTAAAAAACCCGCAGCATTACATTGTATGGGATATGAATCTGGATAGTCACATCTATTCTGAATTTGTAGTCACCATCAAATTGCCATCTAAAGCCAAAGGTAATTAATCGCAACTACTGTGTCATCATTTTAGAAATTTAATTTAATTTAGCTTTGTGCAGTTCATAACAAATGTCAATATAAGTTTTCTTACAAGTCAGCCTTCTCATTTTGTTTCAGATTCCCTCTTCACACAAGAAGATTGTCACGATTCATCTGATGCTTCACTGGTCTTGAGTCCAAGTTCGGCCGACAGTGTATCACAGGTGAGGTTCTTTACATTGGGAGTTGATAAAGATGGTACTGTCATACTAGAGTCAACTTCTGTTCTCATACAGACAAGTTCCACTGTTGGAGCAGCAGGAGCATTCAGTTATTCAGATTGCGTGTCTGACTCAACAATTGACCTGTGCTTCCATTATGAGATTATAACTTCGAGCTGATTGTAGTCTTAATGTTTGATAGAAATCTCCAAATATGATAAGTTTCCTGTTATTACCAATGTCATGTCAGTTATGTTGGGTGAGTCACAAAACACCAGTTGACACCGTTCTTCTGTGTGGAAACAGGACATGAATCTTGAGGCATCTCCAGCATTGGGTGGTCAGTATGAAGCCCCCATGTTAGGAGGATCAATGGCAAAAGCTCCAAGTACACCTTGGATGCCCTTTTCCATGTTATTTGCAGCTATTTCAACCAAACTTCCTCGCGAGAAAATGGACATGATCAATAACTGTTATGAAGAATTCAAGGTCTGCTATTAATCAGTTCTTGGTTGTTGTGTTCTCAATTGAAAACTGGCCTTCAGCTTCTTGTTGGAGCCTGAGTTGACTTGTGTTTGTGTTCATACCAGGCCAAGAAAATAAGCAGAATTGACCTAGTGAAGAGGCTGCGTCTCATAGTTGGTGACAGAATGCTGGTCTCCACAATAATTCGGCTCCAAGATAAGGTGCGGGCCTTCTCTCTTTTGAGGCGCTGTTAGCTCCTGATTCATTGTCTGCCCGTTTTAACACACAACTTTGTGCTCCTAGGGCACTATAGTATAGCAACATTTAGTTAATCTAAGTATAAGCTTGTGTTTTTCTTTTAACAGTTGCCTCCGATGGTGAAGCGGGAAGCAGCAAATGCTCCAGTCAAGGCACGAGGTCAGTGACCATGGTGGATTGGAGGAAGGAACTGGTCGGCTTGTTATCATGAGTTGGAAGGAATGTAGTCTTCTGAGTTTATATGCGTCTGTCTGTGAATCTGCCGCTCTGTCTGTCTGTCTGTTTTAGTAGCTGCAAAGAGGAAACTGTCCGAGTATACTTGTGAACCTAAGATGGTTTCAAGGGAGAAGGCTCCTTGTTTACCCTCCTAGTTTGGTTTTTGTCCAATCAACATTGAGTTTAGTCAATAAATCGTCATTTTCTGTTAATTTTCTAACTTATGTGTTTATTCACGCCTTTCTGTCGCCTTCATCTCCGGTATGACGCAAAGGGATGCCTGCTCGACGGCCTATTAAGGAGGCCCGCATGATGGGGCGCTCTCTCAGTGGTAGAGAGGGTGCTCCTGATTATGGCGTCTGTTGGCAGGTGAAATAGAGAATGTTGGCATTTCAGCCTTTCTTCTATAAAAGAGAATCCAGTAGCGAATAAGAGTACGGCTGTATGAGGCTATGCTCTGTGTACATCCCTAAGCAATGAATGGAGTCTTGAAAAAGAAAAGAAAAATGCTTGAAGCTGGACTAGATGTTGGTGGGCGGGGCATCTGATTGGGGATCCCAGCCGGGTGGCTCGATGTTGGGCCAGTCCCCTCGACAGCCTAGCCTGATGTAAAGGCTCTTCTTCCCTGCCATTCCAACACTGATGTCAATTTTCTTGCAGATTGAAATGGAATGTAAGGCGCTGTTCTGTTTGGTATCGCTCTGCTCCACAACTCCGGGAGCGGAGTTGGCGAAGTTGCAGTTCAAAATGATGGAGTTGCAGTTTCCCTGCTCTGTAGATTCCGGGAGTGGGTGATTACCGAACAGGGCCTAAACGTAGCACGAGGCGGCTGGTGTTTACCTGCTAGCTTCTTGTCTGCCAAGGTGAGCTGCTTCAAGGCAACAAGGCAGCCCTGTGCCACAGCTCGCGTGTACTCCGGGTCCCATCCACCCAGCTTCACCACCACATCCGCCTTGGCATAAGCCACGCTCCCAGTGCTAACGCTTCTCCGGGCTTCCTCTTTGGCAGAGGCTTCATCTGCACCCACCCCAGCACAGCATAGCAGCAGGTCAGCAAGGAAGAACCAAACAATCATCAACCAAACGAAAGGCTTCCTTACTCACCACCGGCATCGGACACCGACAACCACACTGTGAACCCGGAATGAAGATACTGCCATTTGTCGAACCTGCTCGCCGCTCCTTGCTTGCCACCTAGAGTTGCTACCACGGTACGGACATGGCTGCAACACACAATTTTAGCATGGCAAGTGATCAACCAAAGCAAGCAAAGAAGCTCCAAAGAAAAAGGAAACCCGACCTGCTGAGGCTTTCTAGGACAACACACTCCGCTTCAGCTACGGAGTCCGCTCCTTCTGAGGCCGCCCCTACAGGTAATTACATGTAGTTAACTCACTGCGGTGGCAATGATCTATGCTCTATTGCACGAATATGTATTTTAGCACCGAAATGACGTACAGGTATTTTTTTTTTTGAAATGAGAAATGACGTACAGGTATCAACAGACTTTTGAGTGGCACTCTCTAGCAGCTCACTTGTGCAAACTGGAAGATACCTGCAAACGCGCAGCAAAACACATTTCAGGGGCCTTATCTGCCATAGAATTAACAACTTATCATAGTACATTGTGGCAGCAAATCTCAGAGTAGGACATGCATCTATATATTGGTTAAAACAGCGCAGCAGAAACAAGGATGCAATTGGTTAAGTAGTTTCTATAACAGGACGGCAATGCACTCACCCGATGCCCTCAGCAATCTCTTTAGCGACCGCCTCGTTGATGTCCGTGGAGTCGCCAACTATGTGGACGCTAATCCCTGTCAACAACTGCGTGATCCCAGCAGTGAGAGATTTCCAGGATTCATCAATGTCGGGCCATTTCAGCTCTTGCTCGACTTTCTTCAGATTCACCACCAACTGATCCTCATCGATGAACCTGTAACAGTGCAACGAGTCAACAGATGAATCCTCACAGGCAAGAGTCCGCTACTGAGCTAGCAATACATACCATATCGTCTCAGAAGACTTAACCCTGTCGAACAGCGTGCCGACATTCATCAAAGTCCTCAGTGTTCCGTCAGACTTGGCTCTGATGAGCAGGGACATGTCATCGACGTCAACAAAAACATCTCTTGAACTCTCAATGCCAAGCTTTCCAATGTCCAGCCTGAGCTCCACCTCTCCGTTTGTATCGGTAAACTATATGGACACAGATAACCTCAGCTGATTATTTTCAACGACATGACAAGCTCCAGATTTTCCAACATTGTGTCGTGTCTAAAAGATGGAGCGGATTCACAGAAGGTAAGTTTTCAGCACATTAACCAAAAAAAATATCCATCTGTGATGCGGCTCATAGGAGCTTCCAGAGAACTAGACACACATATATGGTTCAGGAATATTTAGTTAACTACTGAACTACGCTACATGAAGCATGAAAGACATCTCATAGCATGTCATCTCCCAGACAAGATTTTTTTTTTGAAAAAGGTGTGTATTATATTAATTAATCAACTTAGGTTCATTACAATCATCATCGACCAGTCGCAACACGCAGGCCGGGACTGAGTCGATCAACACACACTCACACCACTCCTACCATAACTAGTGAGAGCATGGGCAACCGTAATGCCATTTCTAGGAATCTTAGCAATAGTAAAATCAGGGAGTTGGGCCAGCAAACTCACTTTCCCTGATCAAGATGCCAATGGGAGATCTATTTAATTCCTTAGAAGAAAGTTGTTGAATGACATTCTCAATAACTACTGGGCGGTCTATGAGCTGCATGGTCCCAATGGAAGTATTATAGGGGCGTTCTGTTCACGATTAACATGTCAGCACAGACAGAGAATGTAAAATGTAATAGGGTCTGTCTAGGGCACATCAAAAATGTGTTATTTGTTTATTTGGAATTGCCTTGTGTAGACGCGTTTCATGGGGTATGCAGGACTGCATAATGGGGGAACCAGCAAACTGGAAGATGATACTACCGCAGATCGAAGAACAGCTTAGAAACCAAATGCATATGCTTTGGGTTTTCTGAATAATCCCCTCGCGTTCTTCTTTTATCCTATGAAGAATAACATGGTTGATTGTGAAATCATGTGCACACTGAAGTAGTAGTAGTAGCAAGGTGTTGCCAAGGTAGGAATTCCAAGATTTCTATCGTGTGTCGGTAATGGTATGGTACCGTGAGATGACAGAATTGGGGAAAAGGGATAAGTAAGCTCTATGAGCAGCGGGCGTCTGTGCACAAGCAGATAAGGTAAGAAAAATGAAGTGCACAAGCAGAAGCAGGAACAAAGGAAAGACAGCGGCGGTAGCTTGCCTCGTAGTCGTGCGCTGCGGCCGGGGACGCCGACAGGGAGGTCCGGGGGAGGAGGCGGAGGCGGCTCGCCGGCGGGGAGGCGGCAAGGAGAGAGCGACGCCAAGCTGGCCGAGGAAGAGGAAGGCCTGGAGCACGGGAGTAGGTTGCGATGTGCTGGCTGGGGTTTGCAGGGAAGGAGGAGGAGCAGCAGGTGGCGGTGGCTGCAATGGACATGGCCGCCATCATTCTAGCATGAGCGCACACTTGTGTGTGTCCGTGTTTATGAGGCGAGGACTGCCTTAGCTATATTCATTTTTGACTTAGGATCTCCAGTCATTTGGCCCTCAGCGCACCCGGTAAAGGGCTTTGCGCGTTTGCGCCGGCTGTTTTTTGGGTATGGGGAATCAATTTTCAGCCACGTCCCCGGATTTCGGCCCCCAAACGCACAGAAATTCAGAGTTCTTTTTTTTCCACTACCAAAAAACGCACAAGTTCGACGATCACCATGCCACAGGTCGACGATCATCGTGTCACAGGATCGTGTCACAGGTCGGCAGTCGAACATAGCCAAAGTCTGGCGATCAAAAGAGTAGGAACCATAGACATGGAACTCAAACGACAGGCTCATCTATCGTAGGGCTGGGAAAGGTCCGCGGCGTCGGCGTTGTGGGCACAGCTGCAGTGCTCGGCGTTGACGTAGGCGTGGGCGTAGTGGCAGTGGTTGTCGGTGTCAAAACCGGCAGATCTCGGGTAAGGGGTTCCGAACTGTGCGTCTAAGGATCGAAAGTAACAGGAGACAGGAAACACGATGTTTACCCAGGTTTGGGCCCTCTTAATGGAGGTAATACCCTACGTCCTGCTTGATTGACTTTGATGAGTATAGGGGTTACAAGAGTTGATCTACCACGAGATCGTAATGGCTAAACCCTAGATGTCTAGCCTATATGATTATGATTGTGACAGACTTTACGGACTAAACCCTCCGGTTTATATAAACACTGGAGGGGACTAGGGTTTGTACAGAGTCGGTTTACAGAGAAAGGAATCTTCATATTTGCACGCTAAGCTTGCCTTCCACGCCAAGGAGAGTCCCATCCGGACACGGGGAAAGCCTTCCGTCTTGTATCTTCATGGCCCATTAGTCCGGCACATATCACATAGCCCGCACGCCCGAGGACCCCATAATCCTGGACTCCCTCAGTAGCCCCTGAACTAGTCTTCAATGACGATGTGTCCGGCGCGCAGATTGTCTTCGGCATTGCAAGGCGGGTTCCTCCTCTGAATACTTCAAAGTAGTTGATCGTCAGTACTACATCCGGCTCTGTACAACAACCATACCTCTGAATTACAAGGTCAGAACACGAATAAGTCCTGTCCTCCGAAGATTTTACTGGCGAGACTTTACGTCTGGCTATTATTTCAAACCGCTTTTCGGCCTCCCGTTTCGCGTTTTGAGACGTAACCACTGACGACACGTCTTGTCAAAACAGAGATCGTGCCCCCTTATTACGGGATTCTCATCAATACGGGTTTGGAAAACCCAACCGTGTCGTTTCGCACGACCCCTTGAAATAGGTGAGCTTTAAGGCTCGTGGGGGACGCATGATATTCACTGCCTTTATAAGGAGATAAGATCCCCCCTTTTACCCCACGCCTTCCCCTTCCTCAGCCCATCCGCCCTCAAGCTCCAGCGCCCAAACTTCAATCCTTATCGTTCCCAGAAAGTACTCCAGCCATGTCCGGATCCGGAGCGCAGGGCAAGTGTATGGCTTCTTCCGTCACGGAGAAAAATATCAAGGAACTGAAGCGGGGTATCTGGCTAAGGAGATCGCCCACCGGCTCCCAGCCA